AAGTCTGGTCAGCTTGACAACGCGTCAGCCAAAGCATTTTGCTTTTCTGCCTTATACTTCGTCTCGAAATTATATATTGCGAGGAAGGGAGGCCATCGAGCTATCCTCTGCTAGAGGTGAGTCAACTGAGTTGCAGTACATAATGACGCATGGTCTTTGTAGATCACAACCGGCTTTGAGCCAAGCAGGTGCACCCTGAACTTGACACGTGCATACTTCATCAGTAGCTCCTTGTCATGAACTGGGTAGTTCCGCTCCGCAGCCTTAAGCTGGCGAGATCTGAGCTCGATCACCCGATCTTGCCCCTCAGCGTCTGCTTGCAGCAGTGCACAGCCGAAGGTAATGCCTGAAGCGTCACAGACGACACTGATGGGACGGCCAGGGTTGTCAAGCAACGCCAGTATTAATGCATGAAGGAGGCCATCTTTGACCCCGTCAAAAGCTCCTGATGCTCGGTGTCCCATCAAGATCCATATCCTTTTTTAATGTGATTCGACAATGGCCACGCCATTTCCCCTTATTTTCATTGTACTTGTTTAAGTAATTGGCGAGGCCAAGTCACTTGCGCAAGTCCATTTGATGCTTTATATCCGGCTAGTCCACAATGGCCTTGACGTTAAGCGGAATCCGACTGAAGGCCAAGCTTTAGGATGAAGCACTCTAATATATTTTCTTTGGCGCCAAAGATGCGCTTGTCTGCATTAGTATACAGCTTATTTATGCGCCTGCACTCGATCACCGCTCTTAAATAGACAATGTGATTCTCTTCATCCGCCCTCCTGTGCCCCGTACGACCGTGGACGAAGATGTCATCGAATTATATATGTACATACGCCCAATGGGGCCTGAACAACTGCGTCACAAGACTATTAAATTTTGATGGTACACTTAACTTAGGGCATCACCAGCCACTCTCAGAACATACCGCTTAGAGAACTCACCGCTGTCAGCGGAATATCACTCGCTCTAATAAGCAATTATTAGTCGAGTGCACTGTACTTTGAACATCCAGCCATGTGTTCTGGAGAGCATTTTTCCTAGAAATCGGCGTCTGTGTCAGCGTTGAGTAAATTGTAAGTGTGAACGATACGCAACTTGCTGTTCGGGTTCCGGACACAAAATATGTGTGTCGAATGGAGAGATTTGCTCCAACGCACCATTCCTACGTCGTACTTCGCACGAAAAAATGCTCAATGACGTCGGACTACTCCTTGGGCAGGGGCCATTGGATGTTACGCAGTACTTGGTCCTCAGATCCAGATCGATCGCATGACGCACGCCTCGCTTCGAAGGTAGGACCGACTGCAGATCTTTGGGGACGACGTCTTGAAATTCCCTCACCAAAAAATAGAACGGATCCGAGAGATCCGTCAGAATCGAAGATCCACTTCGTGCGATCAGCACCCTCTTGGTAGCCTCAAGGACAGCTTTATCCAGAAGCGACGACGACATAAACTCCTCGTTCGGTCTTGTAATGATCACATCGGCTGCAACGTCTGCCTTCAAGGTACCACCGAACTCTTCGAGGGACATCTCGTCCATCTCAAGAAGAGCATCCACGGTAGAATAGCCTCAAAGAAGACGTCGCTGTCTCTCCCTTGTCATAATGTTGACGAGACTGTATAGCTGTGTGCTATCGACTACGGTAGGCACATCCTGGGGCAGGGTCGTCTCGTGGCTAGCATACGACGTCGCTGTCGCCTCTTCACAGATCAGTGGGAACACGCACCCAACGTCGTTCAGCGTCAGCCCAACTTCCTGCTCCACTGGAATCGTGATGTTATCGACAACAACCGACGAAGAGCTGCTAGCTCCGCAGTCTTCGTCCAGTAAATAACGTGCCACTCCACGCGCGTCTGAAGAGCCATGCCCAAAATGCCTCGGACCTCGTCCAACCATGCCACTTGTGGCATGCAGCGACTGCGAAAACGGGAGCAGTGCTCTGTGGACTGCGTGCCATTCCATGTGCTTCGTAGAGTTCTCGCCCTCGATGTCTCGGTCTTGGCAACCATGCCACACATGGCATGTACTGACTGCTCTGATACTTCAGAAACGCTTAGTGACTTAAGTGCCACTCTATGTTCAGCCCGCGAGCTATGTTCGGGATCTCTATCCGACACTGTGGAATACTCCGATTTCAGCACGTTGACCGCCTCGGATTAGTACCCGCGCCATTAGCCAGCTGGGGTGGGTTCATGACTCCAGCAGGAGACGTGCGCTTAGTCCCCAACGTCTTCGACCTCCAGTCGATCCATGGCTCATGGTAAGTATGACCCTATCCTTGGTATGGCCAACTATGCCATACCTAGGATGAGGTCAAACATTTAAAACAAGTCTAAGTCTAAGCAGCCTTCCACGCTATTAAAGTCAACAAACTTGACACCGAGGTTTATGGGGACCATCGACACCGTGACACATACCTGTCGCTGAGCAAACAGTGACGATGGCACTCAACCGCGCTATCAGCGCTTCAGCATACAGCTGACTTCCTTCCATCGTGGAGCGTCGAGCGAAATTGCCCGACGCCCCGGAGTCGATCAAGATTTTCCTTGGTTTCTCAAATTTCTTTACGGTCGCTTTCACGACTAGCAAGCCCGGCTTGCATACACTTACCAAGTTCAAGAGCACGGAGCTCTTCGGGGATGGCCTAGCTTGCCTATATCCCTCGAGGCTAAACAAAACTTAGATTCCCCCAGTTGGCCGCCCCGCGCCTACTGGGTGCTGTCGTCTTTTCGAAGACTGGTGAGAAGCGGGATGTCGGTTCGGTGAACCTTGACACGCCTTGAGCAGGAGACAACCAATTCAAAGGTGATGAAAGTCTCCACAGACAGAACAACATCAGGTATTCGAATGCTGCCCGACAGCTCGCAGCTTTACCTCCTCGTCCTCATAATAGCTAAGATCCATCGGCTCAGGCCCGCTCGACGAGCTGCTAGAGTGTGCATTTCAACCAATTCGGGCCGAAAGCTGAATTTGATATTCAATGTCACATTCACTGCTTCTTCAAAAAAAGAAAGATGCGCACGGAAGACTACAATTCCGGCCACGCCAGTGCTGAGGCCCTACATAACCCGGTCATCGAGAAGAGGATCAGCTGCCATACCGGCAATGAGAGTACACAACGCTTGATCAAAGTCCACCATCTCCTTCTTATCCTGTCTAGCAGCAAGGAAACGCGACCACAAGCGATATGCCTGGTTAGGCGAAAAGAACACTCGCGCAAGCTGCAGCTTCAGCTCCGTCCAGGAGGGAAACGCCGCTTTGATCAAAGTGCCGCACGTCAGTGCCCATTTTCGCGCTCGACCACCGCGCATGGAGATAGCTCGCGCCACGAGCTGTTGCTCGGTCTGAATCATGGCGGACGCCATGGTCATGCCGACCTCTCTCACCCAGAGCAGAAAAATATCTCCATCCTTACCCTCGTAGATCTTAACGCGCACCATGAGCGGCCTGGGTTGGGAGGAGTCACCCGACGTCGACGGTGGCGTCATGAACGCAGTCGACGCCGACATCTTCTGCTCTAGGTTGAGCAGAGTATTTGATAGCTGGAAAACACCTCTAGGCGGGCGCTGGTCGCTTCAGGTAAGCTAGGGGTCGAAGCCCTTAAGGCTACGCAGAGACATCAGCTTTTTGAGCCCGTTCTGCATGCCTTGGGGCAAATAGGAGATTTGCTCCACCCTCACAGGAGGTCAATCGTAACCACTCGGTTTAGATTGACTACGAGTTTTATCAAGTGCAGCGGGGCTACCAAAGCTCTTTTGCTTTGAAGAAGCTTGTTCACGAGGTAGCAGATCGCAATCTGCTTACTCCAAGAGTAACTATAACTTAACCCAAGGGTAATCACTTCCTTCTTTTGAAACGTAAGATGTACTTCTTGATTTTTTGCGCAATGCCGCCTATATTTAAATCTGTAGGTCTTCTTATATATATAGAAAAACCTAATTTAATGCATAACTACTGGCTGTTTCAGCCATGTACTGGCTTCTTGTTTAATAATTGCCACACCATTGCGAGGTCACACCATATTGTGTGAACCATACCAGGCCATGCGAAACCCATCTACTCTGTGTATTTCTTGGTGAAGGCGACGTTGTTGGTTCGGGACTCGACGAGCCACTATGACCACTCCCATCATAGTGCCTGACCAAGAATGACTCTAGGACCGCGAATACCGCGTCTTTTGCGAAGGTACTTCAAGCCATATGATCGTGTTTAAGAGAGCGTTTCTGATGCGGGTTACATTAGTAAGAGCAAATACTGCTTCGAGCAATGATTGGAATGAAGTTTGGGTGCAGTGGGTGCTCTTGAAGTGTGTCTTTAAAATGCATTACGTGTGTGGTACACATTTGCTGGGGCATATCGGTGTACGCACCGTTAGATCATGTGCATACACCTTGCAAATAATGTCACCAAAACCCGGTAGAATGTTTAAGTATGCTGTGACCTTGGTGTGATTGAATGTGGTTTTATTTCTCGTGTCAGCTACGCTTTATGAGTGCTAGGGCGATATAGCGCATAAGATTGGAAAAGTACAAAGTGACTTAACGCGTAATTGCAATATATATAATCGGCAAGTTATTTGGTGCTTTCAGCTATATAGAAAGTTGAAAATGATTAATCTGTGATGTTCTCATTGGTGATACCATTTTGAAACATAGGACACTCGAAATAGGGTGTCGCCAGCTTACTGTGATGACTGTGAGAGACATGCTACATAAAAGTTCCTCCATACTTTGCTATCGGAGAACAGAAGGAATCGCATTCACCAGAATTGGTTCGTATAATCATTTTAGGACATTTATAAGTTTTTTTAGCCAGATAGTTATCTTGAGAAATTGTAGAACAAAAAGGAGCGTATTATCTAGCATTGATTGATCTGCAAAATACAAAATTAATTATCATTAGGCTGTCTAGCGAAATTGAGAAGAGATACAAATGAGGTTAGAATAAAGAACTTGTCACTCAAAAAGTTATCATGATTAGCTATTGTATAAACCACACTAATCACTTGCCACCTCACGCTCACGCGCTTTAATCTTCGCATCCTTCATGGCCACATTCAAGCTAGCAATCTCGTTCTTGAAAGTTTGCTGGATAGCTTCGTCAGCTGTTTGCTTCAAGTAACCAACGATTTCATCACGCCGAGCTTTCAACTTGAGATAGTCGGGGTCTTTTTTCCAAACCGCTGGAGCATTTCCACCACCAGCAACTGCATGTTTGGAAGAGTTCGGTATCTCGGTTTTCTGAGAGCATGACTGTGCACCGAACAAGACTGATGATAAATACATAGGAACAATTAAAAGACCATACTTTGCTCCCAAGAGGGAGATCGCCTTCTTGATGTCATTCTTGCTCATTTTGCTTGAGATCAGTGTTGCCTCCATGGTCGCAACTGCAGAATTCACAACCGCTGCTTTCTGCAGCTTGCCCTCAATGTGACATCCCGTTGCGCCAGTCGTGATCTGATTTTTTTTATTGTTGCCTGCTCCACTCATTTGCCTTGGAGTAGGTTTCAAAATGAAAGTTAACGATAAATGTTTCTTTATGTCTGTTTAAATTTTTTATTGTAGTCTTTTTCACTCACTCACACGTAACCAGTTTACTGTTTATACTCTGAATATTTATCAAGTTAAATCTGTACAATACATATATCGACTCACCTTTTTCAGCGTGAAAGCAGGACCGAAGTACATGTGATGAGCCTGCAATTCAACCAATACGCTTTTATGTTGAGGCGACAGACAAACGCAGTATATTGTCTTTGTGACTTTTCACACTAGCAATCAAGTTTTACGTTGCAGGGCGTCAAAGCTAGGATAGGTGGAAATCGAGGTTGTCACAAGTGTTGATGATGACATTCGTAGCGCCGGTGCAATGATGCTTTTCAGCGTGTATGCCACTTGCATGGAGCTTGGCCGCGCGTCGGGGTCAAGTTGCGTACAATCCATGATCAATTTTCGAAGAATGGTAGGGCAGTCGTCGCGCAATGAAACGCGAATGTTTCCGAGCCTTACGAAGTGGGCAAGCTGCATGCCTGGTAACCGTCCACCTTTTTCAGAAATGACATCCGAAAAAGGTGATTCGCAGGTGTCCATTTCTGATAATACAACACCAAGGGAATAAACATCTGCTTTTTCCGAGTATTTCTTGCCTTCAATAATCTCCGGGGCAGTCCACAACAACGTTCCAACGCCTGAAGTCATTGTTTCATTAATGAAAGTCTTGCGACTAACGCCAAAATCGCTTAATTTGGCATGCATTTTTTCATTTAAAAGAACATTTTTGGACTTGAGATCACGGTGTACGATAACAGGTCGTAGACAATGCAAATAGACTAAGCCTTCAGCGATATCCATCGCAATCGAAATCTTTTCTTGCTGCCACGAAAAGCAGTCTCGGTTTTGCTTTAGCACTGCATCAAGATCACCTGCTTCCATGTACTCAAGCACAGCGCACAAATTCTGCAATCGGTTCCAACTTAAGCCTTCGAAAGAAACAATATTACGGTGCTGTAACATACACATCAACTGAATCTCTCCGGCAAATTGTTCCAAACTCGAAGTCAGCTGACATTTCTCCGGCAATAATCGTTTAATGGCTACACGCTGTGTGTTAAACTGTCCGAGCCATACTTCACCATAAGCTCCTTTTGATAAAAGACTTAAAAAAGTCAATTGGTCAAAAGCAATACATTTTGAAAGTACTTCTGGATGTTGCAAGAAGGTGGTCAACTCTTCAGATTCGTCGCAATATTCGCTTACACTCTTGCCACCAGCTTCAGCACCGAACCATGTACCAACCGTAGAGGATTGCTGTGATTCACAATTGCTAGCATTGCCAAATGTATACCAAGATGACAATCGGCCTCGGGTCGATTGAGCGATCGCATGTATATTAGCAGTTGACAAGTTGTTCGTAGTCACGTGCCGTCCAATCACCCAAGAGATAAAACCCAGTGGTTGGGCTCTACTAGTGTCTGGCGATTGTCCAATGCTGATAAAACCCGCAGATTGGGTTGCACCAATCTCTACTATAGGCTCAGCATTCCCCATTATTCTACTGTGACACCAGTAGCCAATCACTACAGTCATGATGAGCATGAAGATTCCAGCCATGATTGCACCAAGAAACAATGTCGTATTTCTACCACCATACAAAATCTCCGACTGAAGAGTTAATGGTAATATTTTAGCTGCTGCTAGAAATTCTTCCACCTTTGCGTGATCAACCACCGGCCTACAGAAATCAAAAGCACCACCTGAAGCGATCACATCCTCTAGTCTCAGGCACGGGATAATTGCGTCGACTGAATTGTCATTTGACATTCCTGATTTATCATTTTGCATGTGAATCGAATACACTTGCAAGTCCGTTGTCTGGTCACTTATTATGATGTTGTGGCGATAGACTTGAGGAAACGGCATGGTATTATATACAGCAGCAGAGGACCAGAAGGACATATTGTTGCTTGAGAATAGCGTGGTATTCAAGTTGTCAATTGCACACTGAAAGGATCTCGTGATATTAGCGACACACCTGACACTTGATTCTTGAAATTGCGTCGTCACACACTGTGCTGTAAAGTCGTCGTACAAGACACCAATTTTTGCCATTTCTACTCCAATTGCAGACCCGTTTGAACAGCGAGTGTAGACTGGAAGTATAGTGTCGCCGGCTTTGTCTCCATTGTCGAAACCACCTGAGAATACGTAACCGTGCACCCAAAGCAATCCCACCTTAGTAGCATCGTTCAGTTCGTTCCACGATGTGTTTGAATGTGTAGATAACGTGACTAGTACTTCATTTGGTACTTCGATATCACTGGGTTTAGTTATCACTTTAAACTCACTCTCAAGGTTCTCACAGCGCGTGAGAATGTCACTGTTTGAAGAGATGGCAAGTGCTAGCAGATTATGACATAGCGTAAGAGCTGTAGAGAGCGGCCATTTGCATTGTTGGCGAGGGATACAGTTGACCATGATGAAGTGCGAAAAGTGGAGAGATTTAGAGAAGACAGAGCTTTACGCACTCAGGTACAACTAATCGACATTTATCGTATATCAGGTAGAGTGACACGATACACAGTGATCAAATATGGAGTAAGCAGCGGGAGCAGGATTGAGATGTAATATAGAAGCATGTTTAGATTCTTTTTGTGTAGACGCTAGCTCAGTATTTACATTGTTGTTTCTCAGACATAAAGCGTAGGGTACTGTGATAAATATAATGACATGAAAACGCGCAAGAGGCCCGTGGATACATGGGCTGCTAGCCTTGTGCTCGGGGTACATAAAAATCATGATAGTGAAACAGACTTGAACTTGAGTGTGTTCCAAATACATGCCATTCTTGGTAAAGACGAACAAACTATGTACCTAGCTACTCGAAAAGGCCATAGATTTTGCTTTTGGGTGGAGCGCACAAGCCTGTCTTTCGTGCGCCAATTTACGCGCACTTGCTTAGACAAGTTTTCGCTACCTCTCTGCGAGATGCTCGACATACCCGCTGCACTTGGTATTACTCGTCGTCAATTTCAAAGAATGAATCCTGATGATACTATACCCTCTATGGATATGAAACATAATCCATCCTTGGAGCGACTGGATGGCATTTCGACTTTAGGTATTTCTAAAAATACAACTAATTTGCAGCCGAGGGTCGGTTGAGATGAGTTTACAAAATGCACCTTCAGAAAAACCTCAATTGGTGTCGGTGGGAGCATTTCCAGTTTCTTCCGCAAGTCTGTATATACCAATGTCTGAGATTACAAAATTAAGATTTCTCTTAGGGCACGAGAAATAAGCTGACAATCAAAATTGATATGCTTAAGACAGTGCAACAGCGCGTCCCGCTTGGAGTCATATTGCTAAGATACCACGCGCGAGAACGGGCAGTCACATATCCTACCTCTTGAGACACGGCATTTCCAGCATAAAATATGTTGAAGCCACAATGTTACGGATGGTCGCACTGACACCATTCGCGTCCATCTTAACTCTTTTTCGGCATTACCTTAATATTAATATAGAGCTCAGCCACCATGCCGTGAGATCCAATTGAAGTACAGGAGGCGAAGTATCTGTGAGCGCGCTGGAGGTGACGAGCCTTAGCCATGATGAGAAGGAAGAAGCTGATCTTTTAGCTGCTGATCAGTACCCTGGAAGTTGCACTTTCTTTATATGTAAAACGTCAAATGCTTATGCCTTTCGTATTCAGTTTCTCTCGGTTGAGAGCTTTGTGTCCCCACGGAAGTCGAGTCAAAGAGACTCGTCCTCAACTAGATAGACTAGCTGGAACACTCCAGGTTTGTTAAACTCAAAGTCTCGGGTTTTGAATAGCGGGAAACAGCCCTGATCGACACTGGATCGTTAGAAATTACATAGATAGATGACTACGCGCCAAAAAGTTACTGATACGATACCCGTGCGACTTAAGATTGCGAACAAATGAAAGAAATTCCAATTCCTTTTCTTGTAAGTTGGTGGGCTTCAACAGTGTGGGGCGTCATCTTATCCAAGACCCGAATTCATGGAAGGATCTCTTTTTTGCTATCATATGGCTTGAACGCTAGCCACCACAAATGACTGACTATGTTTTGAAGGAGTCGATGGCGCGACAACCATCATTCGTATCGAAGTGTAGATAGTGCAACCCTTACATGCACATGCAGTTTGACTGCCCCACCATTTTGTAGTGACAAGGAATGAAGGTTTGCAATCGACTTTGATGAAGCAGTAACATATCCCAAAGATATATTAACATGTAGCGAAGCCTCAGCAATCGCAGCAACATATTGGCTGGTCTGTCTGATATTTTATTACCGCATGGAGAGTACTCTGAAAGGCGAAAGCCACACACCATGACTCATAATACTTGATTTACGTGAGATAAAACATCATCTCACGTCATCTTTCACTCTCGAGACATCGACGTTTTCACGTCAAGTAAAATGTCTGTGACCAGGGCCTATAAAGAATCAAAGTCAGCAATTTCTCAACTCTCACAGCGCAACGCGACCTATCGCTCCAACTTGTAGTAAAGAATAACTATTTCACTCGTATTTTCATAAGAATAGCCAGTTGAAATTGCCTCGGGTTTTTTCTGGCTGTCCAAACCAAATAAAGTAGTGGGCTAGTGGGTTCTAATCCTAACATTGAAACGATCATGCTGTGTCATCTCATTCGAGCATATGGAATGCAAGAAATCTGCGTTCATCTTACTGCCTAATCATATTAACCCTCCACTTGTAACCGTTGCTACATGCGTATGCGCCAGAAAAGGTCTCCGAGCTCGCTTCTGGTTCCTCAAGAAATCCTGGTGGATACCTACCGCACTCAATTTCGTGCTCAAAACAAAGGCGCTCCTGTAACCGCGATGCGATTAATTCCTGTGGTGCTCGCCTACTGCAGATGACGAAGAGCTCTTTGAGCGATGGGAGCAGCGGCACCGGAAACTCTCCTCGCTGTACAACTTATGATTGAGTCACAAGGAGGTGGACGCGCGTGTGAAACGCCATCTTTCGTTTTAGTATGCCGAACTCAAGGCGCATTGCCGACTTCCTTTGAGTTGTTGCCCTGCAACGTATGGGCTCACCCCTCACGCTCCCGCACTCACACAGGTGAGTCTGCGACAGCAGCGCTCAGGATCATAGCATGAGATCAGGTCTGGACCCTTCACTTTTTCTGGATAGTGCCGAGAAGCGCGTAACGTACGACGACGCGGAACGTCATCATCCCTCTGATCATAAGCGTCTACGACGTCTGGACAGTCTTACTTTAAACTCCCACAAGTTCACGAAGTCGAAATATCCCCGCCACTCCACAAGATACTGGTTTGACCCTGCACTCCACAAGATACTGGGTTTGACCCTGGCGACGACGTCGACCCACCAGACGTTCCACGTGATAGTTGACACCACCATTCTCGCCGAGAAGAGTCGGTGGAGGGCGATGACGACTGGGTCAATCCGCGTCCGGTGACTCGCGGTGCTCTTCAAGCTCCTGAGGACGAGGTCCGTCGTGATCCGGACCCCGCTGAGCATCATACTGGGTCGCAAACCGCTGTGCGGAAGACCTAGCGAACTTGGAGTACGTTATGCACCGGCTGCCTCACGTTGAGGACTATCACGCTCTGTTGGAGCAGCTCCTAGCCGTTAAGCAGACGAATGCATCGCACCATGCGATATTGGAGCGCTTGGCGTCGTTGGGGATGGACATCGATGAACTTCGTGCAAAATCAGTTGCCGTTCCAGCTTCTAGGCGGTCGAGCGCCTGTGGGCGCCCCTACGGTGCCAAGCTTTTGCGTTTACATACGCCGGATCCCAGTATGGCTTGATCAAGCCCACATAAAACACCTGGTGGGTGCGCATCCGTTTCGGAAGGTTTGGTGAATACGCAAGGCCCTGCTTGACCACCGCCTTGAAAGCCGATCAACCGTGGGTGAAGCTTTGTCTTTTAGGCAGCAGAAGTTGCATAGGTATGAAGATTTGTAGCATTTAATAAAACCAGGTCTCCAACCTCAGAGGTTTTGATATTTCCTCTACCTCTTCTGTCTGCATACTCCTTGGGATGTCTTGGCTTCCAGCCATCGCATCGCGAACGTGTCGTAAGACACTCAATCTGATTGACAGGAAGTCATCGACTTTTTTACAAACATGATATCATCTAGCAGCTCGGCTATTCCTCCCCCACCAAGCTCTGAACCATGGGATGGCGGCGTCAGCGAGACGCAAAACTAAACAAGCCTATTTACGGACGTGTAGACAAATGCAACGCACTGTTCAGAGCAGACTTTACGAGTGGCAGCATGGTGCTCCAGCGCCTCAGTATCTCATCGCAGACGCTGCGAAGCACGTCTTCAATGAAGCGTTCACAGGCTCAGTTTGACCATCGGTTTCTGGATGATCCGCTGTTGAAATATCCAGCTTGGTACCCAACACCTTGAAGATCGTCGACCAAAACTTTCCAGTGAAGCATGCATCTCTGCCAGAGACAATTGATGTTAGGAGTCCATATTGTCGAAAGACACAATCCACAAACAGTGTCGCTGTAACGACCCCGTCGATGGTGTCCGGCACCGCCGCACGATGAGCCATCTTGCTTAAACGGTCGACGCCCGTTTAGCCCGCCGAATCCTTCAGCAGGCTAAACACAAAGTCCAAACTCATGGACTGCCAACACCCGGAGAGTCATTCGGAGAGGGTCTCACCCTTTGACACGTCTCTCGTGTGCGCACATATGTGCTCGTCCATTTGTACAAGCGACCAGTAGTGGCTGCTCAGTGAGCTGCATGTACTCTAACGACCGAGACGACCACTGAGTGGGGAGGCGTGGGTATCATAGATGATTGGGTACTTTAAAAAATCCTCATCAAATTCGTGGCGTATCCGTCGGGTCGGTGATATGATACAGCAATTCATAATTTAGTGAAAAGCGACACAACCGTGCATGCAGCCGCGACGACAACTTCTTGTCCGAGTCTCCAAACTCCTTGCTCCCGAGAGCCTGTAGCAGCACTACGCATATATCATCACACGCGTATACGGCGCGGATCAAATCCTTCACGAATGATGTCACCGTCGCGACATGTGCAAGCTCAAATTCTGGTTTGCGTGACAACGCGCCAGCCAAAGCATTTTGCTTTTCCGGCTTACATTTCAACCCAAAATTGTATTCTGCAAAGAAGGAGAGCTATCGGAACATCCTCTGCAAGAGGTGAGGCGACTGAGTCGCAGAGCGTAGTGACGCATGATCTGCGTAGATAACAAATAGCTTGGAGCCGGGCCGATAAACTCTGAACTCGACAAGTGCATACTTCATCGCAAGTAGTTCGCTGTCATGAACTGGGCGGTTCTTCTTTGCAGCCTTGAGCTGATAAGACTCAAATGTGATCACCCAATCTCGCCCCTCGGCGTCTGCTTGCAATGGTGCACAGCTGACGGCAAGTTCACAAGGTTGTAGTCACTCTTGGAGTAAGCGAATTGCGATCCGCTACACTCATGCTGGTTCTTAGTATAGAACGACGGTAGTCGACCTTAACCAAGCTTCCTCTAAGCGAAAGAGCTACAGCAGCCCTGCTGCAAACAGCATAGTCGCTCATCGAGGGTGGGTCGCTCTCTACGCTTCACTTCGTTTCTCCATGAGCTGTAAACTTGTGCATGCTGCCAGTATTGCAACGCCTCGTCACGGATTCTCGTCTATATTCAGCTCGTCACCTCAACATGTCTCAGCGAGACGAATTCGCCCGTTTGATAAACGTCAAGATTATTGATCAATTCATCAGATGTTGCCTGCCGCAATGTGGACAGTAACTTTAAACGTGCTTGATACGTCTGCTCGCGACCTTTGTCACATCAAATTGTCCCACGATGTGAGCGCCTATTTTACCGAAGCCGCGGCTTGCAGACGCCCATGATCTTCTCACTTTGAGCGAAGAAGACTCTGGTGGTGCCAAGGGTGAGCAAATTCCCAGTAAAGGGTGATGCGCGGACAAGCCGGACGAAAACCGCGAACACAACAGAATTGGCAGGATAAGGATCGCAATTACGGGTGCTCACGAAGAACGAGCATGATGCACGCAGGACGAATGAGCGTGCCAAGGGTACAAAATGACTAGCAGAATCGAAGCCACTAGGACATTGACAAGACAACAAAAGGGATGCACGCAGCGAACGAGGAGAATTGTTATAGGGCAATTTTTGGGCCATCCGAGCACACACAAACTGCCCGCCGACTTAACCAAGATGTAAATCAGGAGGCCGAAGGAGTACCAATAGCATCAAGAGCCAAGAACAGCGTTCAAACAAAAAAAATGCTTGTTCAGTGAGAAGCCAGCACACACTTTAGAGACAGGATGATTTTGACTGCCCGTTGCTATTTCTGATTCAAACGACATTGAGCAACTTTCGCCGGAAACAATTCCATCAAACATTTTATATTTCAAGTTTCTCATCTTCAGTGTAACCCGATACCAACTTTGTAAGTATATTCCTCCAGCAACTTTAAGATTACAGCACCTAATTCGCCAATCTGAACAGAGAGTTTATCTGAATGCTTGATGAGAATGATGACGAAATGTGCATCAACCTAATGTTATGAATCTTTGTCTTAACAATCAACAATCACAATTTTTGCGGCATCAAAGCTGGAATTTGATTTGTAAAAATTACTTTTTTGGTCCTTCGTGTGCACCACTCACTCTCACTTTCATGGAGATCCAGCTAAACGCCGCGCCAGATGATGATGACACGCCCGCAGCGTCTTCTACCATTTCACCCGCCGTTTCTATGGCGTTACTTCTCTCTAATGATGTGGATACACCCCGTGACGCAATTCATAGCCCATTGCGTTTCTCAAGTCTCAATGATAGCGCCTTAAGTGTTGAGTCCGATACTTCAACACCCAAAATACCCACATTACAGACGCCTAAGCTGCAAACGCTACAAAATCAGTTGCATCGAGCACTTGAGAAGCTCTGGGGTGAATCAGCACCAGCAGTGAAGCGCCAAAAAAAGGGTAAACAAAGCCGTCGAGCTAAATCTGCAATTAACAATAGTGCAGATGTATACAAAACGCTCGAGCAGCTACAGTGTTCAATTAGTGCTTCATCTACGCCAAAGGCGCTTGAGGATGTGATCATGATTAGTTTGAGTGCTTTGGAGCTACTGGATGAAAAGGAGACGATTGTAGAGGAGAGCGAGAAAGGTGCCGATGTGGCTGCAATGCTGGCCAAAGTATCGGGAAAACCCGTGTATATGCAACTAATTCGTCTGCTTCAACGTGCTCTAACTTGTATTGGTGATCGAGAGGTTAAAGAGCTACTGACTTCAGTGTTGAATTGGAGTTTAGCTAGACAAAAGCCCGAGCATTGGATGTGGGTATTACCGGTTAGTGCGCCATTAGATTCGTATTTAGTGCATGAGTTTCTAGTGCGTCAAGCTATTATCAAGCCTGACGATGTTAAGTGGTTGATTCCGATTTTGGAGTTCTTAACGATAAAGAATCCGGATCAGATGGTGGATATTGCCCAAGAATTACTGCAAGAATGCGCTAAAAGTAGTGCTGATCGAGCAGTTTGGATGGTGCAGCGACTGATCACGTTAGCTACGGAGTCTGCTGTTATTGTTAAGGCTTGTGAGAATAGTCTGCAGTGGATTGTCACGGAGGAACTTGTAACGTCACTTGCCTCCAAGTACGACGAAGCAAAAAAGAATAGCATGACTGATGTGGAATGGAAAAGGCTTGATGATCTCTTGCTTGAATTTCTCCTTAAACGAAGCGCTGAGCTTTCGGATTCTGCCTTCCAGCTTTTGCTGCTGTTGCACAAGCTAACTGAAGCCAAAAACGAATCCTTAGCAGCTTCAGTGGCTTTGTTTCATGAGCAAGTAGTCCATTTTGCACGATTAGAGCTGTCTTGTGAATTTGTTCAAGGTATCTACCGATATCTTCCCTACATTTCTCGAACTTCTTTGCGTTTGCTTCAAGAGATGACAACCTTAGAAGGAACACCCGATTCGTGCATGGCAGACGATGAAAAAGTGTCGAAAGACGCTGCATTTCACCACTTTAAAAAGTGGAAAGAGTGGCTTGTATTGATAGCGCATCGCGTGTCACGAAAAGAAGTTACGGAGCAACTGATTAAGGCTGAGCTGGTACGTGCAGAGTTTGAGGAAGTCCGACTCGTGTACTCTTTTGACAAAATTTGCGACGCTGATCGTGCACTTTGCGAGCTTTTAACAACGTTACTAACTCCAAAACCAATCGAGTACGTGGCCTTTATACGCGATATCTTGCAGCAAGGGAAGTCTGCTAGCATAAAAGTTCAGAGGCGCGTTCTCGCAATCGTCCAGATGTTGTTGACGCTAAATGACACCAAATTCGGCAATTCTGCGGAAAATGAGCAGAACATCACCCTTGACGACAAAAAAACGTCAAGCATTGACAAACTTGCTCGGACCATGAGCTGGAGTTTGACCTTAGATGCCTTCAATATGTGGAAGGGCGAGACTGGTATTGAGTTTTACGAAAGTTTTCTAGATTTTGCTTGCTCAAAGGATTTTACTGTCGCTTCCCGAGCGCTTTTACTAGTATCAAGGACACCGTTTCTATCACTCGAAGATCCCAAATGGCAATTTCGTTGTGTCCGGAAGCTTTCACGCGTGTATTTCTCGCAACTTCGACAATATCGAGTGATTCTCGTACAAGAAAAAGATGAAAGCTCTGGCGATAATAAGTCGCAGAAAAATGCAATACAGAGTCATTTACACTCACTCAAGATGGTTTTATTCCGTGTACTGGTAATGGAAGGTGGTATTACGCACTACTCTTCATCCGTTTACAGCATTTTTGCATCATTATGGCTCGATGCGCTCCTCAGTACCATATCAGCGACAAGTGTGCCAACACATTTTCCGAATGGTGTCAATTTTGCCCATTTAAGTACAAATGACGAAGACGAGCTGAACGAGCGTCAAATATTTCGCTGTGAACGAACAATTAGTTCCAAATGCACAAATCTACAATCGTCTCAAGTTATCACGAAAAATCCTGATGCGAAGTTGGTGTATCGTAAGACTTTAGACTCGTCCTGGGAGCGGGAAATGCGCGCTGCTCGTGTGTGCAGTGTATATGCGACGGATCTGCTTGCTCAGCTTTTTGCATCTACAGGCACTCCTGCCACTATATTGGCTGACAATCCATCGCAAGTGAAAATGGGGCTTTCTCCTGATGAAGGGGCACTTCTCGAGCGTCGATTGACAATTATTGTGAATATGTTATTGGAACGCGTTATCCCATGCTGTGGAATTACAAGTGATGAAATTTACAAGGATTTGCTACCGAATCGATCGACTTTCGATGTCGACTTGCGAATTGAACAGTGGCTTAACCATTTTCCGGCCTTCCTCCCATTGTTGCGGAGTATAGTCACGCCAGCCGTGGTTATCGGCTCTTCGCAATTATTGCGACTTATACCAATTTTCAAGTCTGCTCTAGTAGTTTTGATAGGTCACTGGAATAGTGTCAAAGGAGACTTAAGTGGAAACAATCTCGATGTGCCTCCGTACATGCGTAACGCAAATCAATTGACGCTCACGTGCGAGTTGATACGGCTATTACGTGCAACCAATTGGTTACCAACGCAATTGAGCAAGACTGCCGAGTTGCTTCCGCTGACAACACCGGCTGATATTCGCTCGATTCTCTTCAGTTGTTGGTTTTACTTGTCGGATCATCCACCACGATCGGGATCACATGCTCCTACACCTGCAACTTCGGCAGCGGCCTCGCCAATCTCATCCGGTTCTTCTCCCGCTGGCTTCAATATCACTGATGTGTCGTTAAATGGTTCATCAAGATCAAGCCATCCGCCTCTCGAGTTCTACCTCGTTCCCCTGCGAAAAGCCCTGCATCGCAACATTCGGAAGATTGGAGCCAAATATCCGCTTTTCATGTGTTAGGCTTTTAAATATATGGTGTATCGAGTTCATGCATCAGCGCGTACGGTGTACAACACACACAGAAGCCACCACAAACAAGCATTGTAACTGTATCTAATTATCCAACTTGAATAGCTAAGAGAACTTCTCGAACACTGTACAGCTAATAATTGTCTGTATTTGTTTATAACCCTTGAAAGAACAGCTTTTCAACAAAATTGATCCTACACTTTATCAAATCTATGATGTTGAACGAGCAGTCGTAAAAGTAAAATGTATTAAATTTTATCTTGAATGTGATACATAATTCGAATCTTATCTAACTTTTAAGATAGTACCAAACATATATGTTTTCCTATACTCAATAATACAAATTAAATATAGTGCATACATGGCCTTTGCACAATAGTGTTAAGTGTACGTTTACCATGATAGAACTTAGGATTTCTCCTGTGTAAGGTCTTATCATCCCATCCGTACCCAGTACTAGTAAGACAAAAGGACGTGATAGATTTCTTACCCGTTAGAAACACAGTCCATCATCTGAGGTACGTTATAAAGTAGATGTCATGTGACCAGCAAGTATGAAGAATTCAATTTTATCTACAGTGAGTTTAGTCGCAAATGGCAGAGAAAAAGAATAATTAAAAACAGAGCTCTTCGCTTCAGTAAATTACGAACAGCAAGTTTACTTTACTGGTCTAGAAAGTGAACAAAGTAGAGGCAGCAATCGTCGCTAAAGACAAAACAAGTGTTCCCACAGAAAACAAAGCACCAGCGTCTGATGTAGAAGCGTCTGAATAGGCACTAACTTCGACTTCCTTATTTGAAGGCTTCCGTTTCTCACCAACAGCGGGACCCGCTGATGCGTGCTTGTAATTGTTGCCCTTAACGCCGTTGCATACCGGCTGCGTGATTGTACACTCGAGAATCGGGACTACTCACAACCAAACAATTAGTGTTTTAAGATGAAATCTTACATTTGGAAGCTTACCTTTTGGTGTTGGTGGCAACTCGATTGATATATTTTTTGGACACGACAGAATGGTGTCACGCGTTGGCGTATAGCTGTCATGCGTTACCGTCGATTGCTTTGTAGTCGTATATGCGTTTTTCAGATTTTCGTATTCCGGGTACGGTGTAAACACGCACTCAGACTTAGCGTTGTCGCAGTCTTCCGGAAGCAGGTAACCAACGCCATACTTGCCGGTATCTCCAGTCTTGGAAAGAGCTGCAATTGGCACAATTAGTACGAATAAAAGGAATACAACATTGAAAATAACGCATTCTTACTTTTGCTCCCAGCCAAATTCGCAATTTCCGTCGTGAATTCAAAGACATTACCACCCACAATCTCTTCAGTCATTTCCTTCTCCTCATTCATCCACTTGGCCTAATTAAAAAGGAACAAAAAGTTAGATGAGTGCCTATAAAATTATGACTTTTATACGTACATCAAGAAATGAGCGTTGGTTTGCATATCCTTCTATGGTGTTCACTCCCTTATTGCATCCAAATTCGCCAAACATTAATGGACGAGCGTAGCCAACCTCAGCATATTCTGACATAAGTTTCTTTAGACCTGTCGACTGTGAGTATTTGAGGTGAGTAACTGGATCACACTCAACGTATGGATTAAATCCCATCCACTCAGCTCTTGTATTCTCGTCATCATCCACTGCACAATCGTAGTACGCAATCCACTGCTGTCGAGGGGGAATATCTGCAATATCCAAACCAATTGGTACTTGACGAACTGATCCTGAGCAGCTTGCTGCGTAGCTACGAGTGTCACGTAGAAATGCTTTGACACACGGCGCCGTGGCTGTACCTTCCGCGCCATTTTCCACTTGCAAATTATTTTCGTTTCCAATACTAAAGCCAAGTGTATTGTCATAGACAGCGAAAGCGTTATAGACTAATTGTGCACGAGTAAACAAGTCGTCAGGGTAACATTTGGGTGGCATATAGTCAAGTACCGAGCAATTCTCGCATCTACCAGACATTCAATCATATTAGAGTTAATAGCGTTAAGAAGGATTGTAAATTAAGACTTACGGAGCAGTGATGCCTACAAGCACATAAATGCCTGCTTCAGAGCACGCACACATAAATTTGTCGTGGGATTTGCCTGGATCGACCGAGTAGAGACGAATCGTGTTCACGCCAAGGTCTTTCATGATTTCAAGATGAGGTTTCCACACTGCCTCGTGGTCATCAGCAGCCCAGTCGTAATTGCTGACACCAGACAATTTGCCATCATTGGGTCGTGGGTAGTAGGCCATACCTTTCATACGAAACTCAGCTCCAGTCTTCGAATCAAAGAATTTATTTCCCTTGGTAATGATATGAGGAATCCACGCGTCGATTGGAGAGACAGCGATTGAAGTACACAGAGCAAGAGTCGCGCAAAGGCGTTGAACGCGGGAGCCGAAAACCATGTTCGAAAGTACTGAGATTTTGAAAATGTCAGTAAGTTTCAGTTGCTTCTCGTTGACGACGAGTAGCAAATTGAAGAATGAAGACTACGGAGCATCTTATACATTGTGTCAGAGCGAAATTCCAGATGTCTTCTGTACACACTGTCGGCAGGATTTTTCGTTTACTTGCACAATACTTTCTCGTTGATTGTGAGCGACACGTGCGTTTGTAACAACTGACAAGTAAACGACGTATTATAAAGTAAATGAGGATTCAAGCATGGCCAAATCGTAGAGACACGGTAATCAAAGCGCTTCAGATAAGAAAAGAAACAGATTGTCTGCTTAGAGATAGGGTCCTCGCTTCGTTTATGCTGACAACTCGGATTTACTAAGAGCAATAAAAATTGCCACGAGCAACAAGTCAAGCCATGTCATGTTAAGTTTTTGTATTACAATGTGCGTTCAAATTGTTTAATCATTCAGACAATCCGGCGACATCTTGGCAGTCGCACGTCTTGCGATCATTAACCTCTCTATGCTTATAGAGGGACCGAAATCTTACATGTAGAATCAGATTTCACGCACAGTTGAGGTATCGTTGTCAAGTAGATAAGGAAATTATAATATTCAAAATGTGCAAAGACCATTTGAAGATTTAAACAACTAGGAACCTCATTTGGTCATGCGCTTCATAATTAACAACTTTCTACATGAGGTGCTCGACTGCAACAATCGCTTTTATAATTTCTATAAAAAAGATGACTCATCCGTGCCACAGTGTGATGGTTAAGCTGAGGTAGCGACACCGATAGACGTGCCTATCGTACAAAGCATTGAGACTTCACAGGTCCGCGGAAAGTATTGTTACACTTTAGAACGGAGTGACTGGAATCTCTGATACGTAGCTATGTACATAATACACCAGGCCTGGTATATGCCAGTTTTTAGAATTGGTAAGGTTGGTAGTTGTGCTTAACGTCGGACAATCTTACAGCAATTTCTTCGTCAAGCCAAACTGCTTTGCTTGCTTCGCGCCTTCTAATGATAAGTCAGTTAAAGACGAGCAAATTTTATATTTTTCTCATCCCGAAACTGAGAAATCAGACTCGACAGGCTAGCTGGAGGCTGTACATACCGTCGCTTATCGATTCGAGCCATCCTGTATCAGAGTTTTGACACCTGCAATGGTGCGACAAACTTTCAAGATGTCTAGGTAATCACGAAACGTCGCTACAGCATTTTACGATCGTTTGTAAAATCAAACGGTTCCCAATCGTATGCAATGCTTTGGCAATGCCTTTTCAACGGATTCGGCATAGCTGGTAAGCTAGTGTCTGTAGTGCCTCGTTTAAAGTAGGCTTAACTTCAGAATTGCAAATGGGGGAGAGATTGAAGACTAATCCATGAACCCAGTGATAAATCTACCGTATAATTTCAAGCTGCTCATCGTCTTCTGATAAGATCATAATCTCGTCGAAATCGATTTCGCTTTCGTCCAAATTTCGCGAATGAGCTGATACGAAAGCGGCCAGTCACCAGAACAGCCGTGAAAATTTTGTCAAGCGTATCTGTTCTGGTGATATGGGTCCATCGAAATCGGTCATAGTCACCAGCATCTGAACCAGTCTGCGGATTTTAACACTCTGTTGGCACATAATTGATGGGAATGCAAAGCCTTGGTGCTGATGTCAACTTGATAATAGAATGCCGAGATAGCTGAGATTTTGAGCCAATACCAAGACGAGTGCAGCAGCAGATTGGTAATACCAGAAGCAAAGCACCTTTGAATGGCGTCTTTGTGATATCGCTGCCGTTTTGCCCACGAGCCCATACGGTCGTCATCTTTGAAAACTACACTCCCCTCGTATCTCTACTGAGATTTTCCTACTTGTGTAACCAGGTTTCTATCTTGTTAATCAACGGCCATCCAATAGATATCCTCGCTTGGATTTGGTCACCATGTCGATGCAATGAAGTAGACACCATGTACGATAAACTGGAAATGGAACATCACATCTAAGCATGGTCATTACGCCGCTATGTTTTCCAGTCATAAAATATTTCCATCATATCCGATGCCAATCAGTTTCAGTTTCCAGGACGGACGGTTATTGTTCAGCACCGAAACAATCAGTCAACTAATATTTGCAGATGTGTGACGGTCGTACATAGGAACGGCGAGCAAGTGAAAATTTAACACATTGCCATTGTGATAAAACACCTTCTCAGACATTCCTTGATATGTTGCTCGCAATTTGGATACACCAGTGGCGCATACTGAGCCAACCTTTTCTAGCACTGTGCGTAACTTGCAATTCCAGTGACACAGCTGTTTGCCAAAAAGAGAGCGCGCCACAAGATCAATTGCACGACGATCTCGACTGTGACTAGATACCCAATGACTGTGCCATGCTCATTCTCCTGCTGATGAAATGATAAAATAACTCGATTACGAGAAAGTCGAGTAAAATCATCAGCATTGAAAAGCCTCGCCATTTATCTTTTAACGATATATTTGTTATCATATTGATGCAGTATTTCGTTTAACGATCGTTTAATATGGGATGTATCGTGCTGGCAGAAGGAGATTCATTATCAAACAATTGTTTTTTTTTCGGCGTCAGGGTGTTAAACATTTCGCGATGTGATTTGCGCTGGCCTATATGATGCCTGAGATAGAGTTATGGACGAAAAGAATCTTATGTCGACATTTGTTGACGTTGCCGCTTCTCACCGACAACTACCACCACTCCCTTGCCAAGGTAAAACAGACTTGACAGCGAACAGTAAGAACATGTTTGGAAGCTGTATCGACATTAGCCACTATCAGACCATACTGGAACTTATGCTTGAATTGGAATTACTTCGGCTACGTCAGGAAGATAAACTTGCATTTAGTATGGAGAGTTGCGAGATTGTGATATGTAAAAATTCCATTGACTTTGTTCGTAATTTATACTGGTAAATATGGTATTTATAAACAGAGTTCCATTCTTAAAGGCCTGCAAAATAATACCAGAGTACTGGCACAAATGAGGGCGATAAAATCTCGTGAAGAAGATGTTTGTTGGAACAAATGGGCTGGATCGCAATCCTCCAATATGCATTTGTATAATCTTCCAATCAAAGTTAGGCGCAAATTTGATTTCTAGTTACTTGGGAGATTCTCGGCTCCGCTTCTGAGTGAAGAAAACAAAGCCATACCATGTGCTTCATCATCTCAGGCTACATACAATTTTTACTATGATGCCGCCCATCACAATAAGAATTGTATGTAGCCTGAGATGAAGCGGTATGTGCAACGAATTTGAAGGTGCATTTTGTGCACATAAAGCGCTAATAATGCGCAATTAACATTTGCGTTCTTGATTGCTGTGCAGCTAACAGCTCACGTGTATCACGTACCTTGGCCATCATCCTCATAAAGACCAGAATATCGGTAAATATGAAAACCTCGCTGAATTGTACAATGTTGTCAACTGCACAATTGAATTAGCGTAGGGTGTATGTACACAGCAATTCAGTACATACCCCCTTGACATCCTCCCCTATCAACATGTAGACCGCACTAGGTCCCACATAATCCACTGCGGGCGGAAAATAAATCACTTTGAACATTCAACAATGCCTGCACCCAAGAGCACATACGCTCTCCTGTACCCAAATGGCTCAGCGAGCCTTAAATAAATTCGCGGTTCTCCCGACCAACGTTTTAAAAGAATTACTGAGAGAGAAGGCCGAGATGAATCAGATGAGAATGGTCACCGCGACTCTCCAAGTCTCGACTCAACATGTGTATCTCAGCTCGACACATATGTCCGGTTTATCGTTGAGGAAAAGGCACTCACTGCGCTCCACCCTCTTCGCCATTGTACGAGTCAAGAACCCCTTGTATATAATGCAACAAAAACCCACCGCGTAACGCGCGACTATATACTGCTCACCACCAACGAGAAGGACCAAACCAAGTTGCTCATCTGTAGACGCGAGAGTCACGCCAATCTGTGCCAAAATTATCACATTAAAACTTTATATTCAGATGACTCACCACAAGTTTCCATTGTACTGGGTCGTAGTCCTAGCAAGCGTGTACGCACAGCCTTTTACACGCACCGAGAGCGAGACTGATGTCAGATAGACACTCTGCGAGTGCTTTCTAGCCAAGAGGTCATCATTCCTCAAAGGATCGCGCGCGGTTTAAAGTAAGCAGCAGCGTGTCAGAAAAACTGTACTTTTCACGAGAGATGCAAGTTTGGTGCTGTGGCCGACGATAAATTCAGAGAGTCTCATACACTAGGCGAGAAAATGCGTCGACTCACCATAATAAAGTTTAATCCAACTTTGGCGTAGCGGACGAAAACAAGAACGCCAATCAAAGTTAAACTTTGCACCGTAAAGTACAACGGGACGTCGAAGAGGACATCCGTCACCTCAAGCTCCTGTTCTTAACAGCTCGTTTGTTTCTATGAGATATTGTTTTCAGACTTTACCAAGTTTCGGACTGAAAAGAAGGTCGACTATTTTCTGATGGAGGGGAAATGCACTGCGAAGGGCGACCTTGCCTATTTTCAAGCGAGATAAAGGTTGCTCGACAGCGTGAGCGTCGACGGCGCCAGGGCAATCTTGACGAAGAGGAACCTCAAACTTCCATGTAAGTTCCGATCGAGGGCATTTCTTCAGATACTGGTTACATTCTAAAGTGTACCCGACGGCTCAAGCGACGTCCTCAAGAAAAGGGCGAGCCCTCGTTGATAAAGAAACGCCAGCGGAGAACGACTCTCCTGTAGCTAGCTCGTGAGATCTTTCGGTTGTGACGGTACGTCGGCTCACTCGAAGAGATTTGTCGTGAGCCCAAATCTGAGATCAGTCTTGGCCGCAGCACTGTATGGTTTAAGCCGGCTCAAATCCGCCTTCCCGATCTCAAGCAAAGTGTAACCCAGCTACAGGGGATGGTTAAGACATTTCACTGTCCACGGCAAAGCTCTTTGACTGACCTGTATGAATAGAAGTTTTGTATG